TATATATATATATATATATATATATATATATATATATAAAATCCATGGTGTTGTAGAGGCCAGTCACTGAGTACACAGTGATCACCTGGAGTAGGCCGCGGGTGTCCTGGAATATAGGACCACCTCCCATCCCATCCTTACGTCAATGCTCCTAGCACACCCCCTATCCCACTATCCTACCTCAGTGTGACCAGCACTCAGGACCATTACCCTACCAATGGGCAGGTAACTTGGACCGAACAGCAGTGATAGGCACCAGGGCTGATAGGTTACCCAGCCGTGGTGGAAGCGGAGTCAAACGAGCCTTGTCGAACGGGAACTTGGGACGCCAGGCCCAGACAATCTACCTTAGGCCCCAAGAGACTCTAGACCCTAAGTTCACACATCGTAGGCGCCGAAGCGACTTCTTTCCGTCCTGCCCTTCCCCTAGGGTCTAAGCCTTATATAGCCACCAGACAGTTCTATGCTCTTATCATCACTCCTATCTGATGTCACGGGAGTTTGTGCAAAAAAAAAAAAAAAAAAAAAAAAAAAAAGGAAGACACATGCGCTGGCAACACTGGGTAGAGAATTGCAGAAGTAGAAGCCAAACCTTGTCCGGATCTTTCCCCTTCTTACTGTACTGGATGGTAGTTGAATAGGGCAGGGTAATGGTCCTAGGGTTTGATGGGCAGTCAATCCCCTCACTCAAAGGCAATCAATGCTGCCCATCACCGAGTGCCTGCACATTTATAACTGTTCAAACATTCGATTACAAATGATCTGGGACGCTGGACCCGCTTTCCAGCAGGTGTTGCTCCCCACCAATAGATGGAGCCCTCCCGAGACTGTTAGTGGTGTGGAGTCCTATCAGCACCCCTAGCATCATCTTGGGTCGTTTTGGTTTAAAAACAAAAACAAAAACAAAACAAAAAAAAAAAAAAAAAAAAAAAAAAAAAAACACATCCCCAGCCAACCCTAAAGCTCAGTTGGATACATTCACAATTAAGCAAAATTTTCCTCGCTTTGGAGTGAAGTTAGCAGAACTGTGACTGAAATGCATTTAAAAATTAAAACTGAAAACCTTGACTGCGCCTTAGTTTTCCCTTCTTTTATCTCGAAATGGGCAACGACCTTGAGATATCATTATCATCATCGAGCTGACCGGCCCTAGGTATTTCTGAATTGTGGAATTTTAGTATTATTTTTACTCATCATCCGGATGAATAGTGGACAATGTCTTGATCAAGTAGCGCTAATTGTTGGTCTCCTTTCTCTGGTTTTGATTCGTTTTCTTCGGTAGTTCACCTTTTTTTGCGCATGGTTTCTTCACGGTTTGTGGAATTTGGGTCACTAAATTAGGGTTGTCACGACTGTTGTGATTAGAGTTTCTTTGTGACGAGCTTAGATTTAGCCGATAATTTCCGTTGATGTAGTAGGGGCTGTGGACTTGGCTGTGGGGTGAAATCTAGTGGTGCCCTCGATGTGCTTGGCCGGTGATGCCTTGCCCGCTGAGGGCCCCACCTTATTTTTGTAAGGGATGCCAGGCCTGGTTCCCGGCCTTTTAAAAAAAAAAAAATAGTGGCGAGAAAAAGAAAAAAAAAGGAGAGGTTTTGCACAAGGGCAAACCATTCGTACCTCCGCCAGTGTTGGGAAATTACGAGGTTTTGCCAGTTCCCGAAGAAATCGCGGGTGGGACACAGGGTCGGCAATGTCCCATAAATCTGACTTTTATAGTGTGCCGCGAGTGAAAGGAAAAGGGAAACAAAGAAAAAGCTTTCTCTACTGTAATGATGTCGGGCAGGGTAGTCTAGGAGTCCGTGCTCACAGTCTTCCTCCACAGAATGCACCTCACCGGTAATGCGGTCACATTCTGAATGTTACCTTTTTCTTTTTCTTCTTTGTCGTGTGTTTCTGACGAGTCCCCTGCTAACGAGGCAGGGCGGAATCCGTGATCTGCTCAAGCTGTCCGTGATCTGCTCAAGCTGTGTTTTGTCAGAGGATCCTAGCGCTCATCACACTGGCACTTGGGGGAATGTATCCAGCCGTTTTCACGGCCGGGTCCGTGTGCCAAATTTCCCCCCCTTCTATTCTCTTTTTCGTATCGGACAACCTGGCCACAGGGCTGAGATGCCCTCACCAAGGACACACTCACACACTACCACTTCCAAGAATGTATACAACTGCAATCACGGCCAAAGCTTTGTTTCCTTTTTTTTTCTTTCTTCTTTTCTGAGGTTCAGGGCTGCAACTTTTCTTCTTCTTTTTTTTTTTTTGTTATTTCCATGAGCGTCCCAGAAAGAAAACGGAGTGGTATTCAGCAAAGTTAACTCAGAGCACAGTGAAATTCAGCAAACCCGGAGCACAGTGAAATTCGGCAAACTTGGAGCACAGTGAAATTCAGGGTCGGCAAAATAAATAAATAAATAAATAAATTTCATCTGCTTCCAATGGAATTCAGACTCAGGGCTGCATTTCAACAGTTCAATGGTGCACCAACTGACCTAGGCCTGTTGGGGAAAAAAAAAAAAAAAAAAAAAAGAAGAAGAAGAAGAAGAAGACCTAGGCCTGTTGGTGAGGACATACTTTGATTTGTCCATAATCAATTCTTCCCCACCTGTCAGTTGCTCTCTCACTCCTGCACAGTTAATCCCCTGGGATCGCAAGACAATCAAGGCCGGCAGGCAATTTCATGATCTCAAAAAAGGATGAGAATATCGGTCTTCTCCCTTTCTCAGCAACCTGCACAGTTAATCCTCTGGTTACCTGAGTAATCAATGCTGGCAGGCCTTTGCTCACTGACAGTCATTTTTTCTGATATCCTGCTCAGTCAATCCTCTAGAATCCAGAGTAATCAATGCGGACAGTTTTTTTTTTCCAGATTCTGATTATCTTCTGTCTTTCCTGATTTTTCTGAATCATTCTGTACAAGGGAGGGACGCTGGACCCGTTTTCCAGCAAGTGATGCTTCCCACTAATAGATGGAGCGCCTCCCCAGGTGCGACAGTCTTCCCCCGAATAAAACGTACGGTCGTTAAAGCTGAATTTGGGGCGTCTTTCAGTCTAACTTCAGCTATATTGACCGTACGACGTATTCGGGGGAAGACTGTAGCGGTGTCTACTTTTACCAGCACCACTAGCACTGATGGGAGTGTCTTGTAAAAAAAAAAAAAAAAAAAAAAAAAAAAAAAAAAAACACCTGTGGTGCTTCAGCAGTGCATATTTCTTCCCAGTGTGGTGTGAATCTTTCCATGTCAGATATGTCATCTATGCGTGCCTATGGGAACATGGTGATGCTTTTTCTGAGTTGCGATTACGACTGGGCACATAACAGTCAGCGTAAATCAGAAAGGCCTTGTATGGCCTGGTATGGCCAAGCCCAGCCTGCATGAAACTCTAGCTAAGCACAGCCAGCACAGTTGGGGGGGGGGAAGGTTTGGGAGGGTCGCTGAGGGACTGGGTACCATTGGGAGTCTCCCGCCTCGGAATGCCCCGCTCTGCCCTGGGTGTGTTGTGGGAGTGTGATTATAGCACTGGGCGTCAGGGTAGGGCCCTGCCTATACCCCAACCTGCACAACCTAAAAAAAAAAAAAAAACACCCTCTAGGGCTGCAATTTGGTAGGCCAGGCCCCTGCCAAAATAAGCACCACACACCCGGAAGATTAGTTCCTTGTCTCATTTTCATGAAATTTTCTGATGAAGTTCTCTGAACATACTCGTTATGGGACGCTGGGCCCGGTTCCCAGTTTGTGCCAATTTGTGAAGATATGGTTGTATCTATGGGACGCTGGACCCGGTTTCCAGCAGGCGCTGCTCCCCACCAATAGATGGAGCTTGTTTTTGTGTGGGAAAAAAAAAAAATAATAATAATAATAAAAAATCCAAGCCCTATTCCGAGCCATGCTTCATCAGTGGAGAAATGGCCTGGCAATACCTGGTAAAGAAAAGGCAATTCTCTTTTTCCCGGAAATAAGAAAATAATTAAAAAAAAAAACTTTAAAAAAGAGCAAAAAAAAAAGAAGGCAATTCCACCTGCCA